GAAAACTGAGCGTGGGTTGCCATTTACTCAGGAACTTGGCTGTGGGTGCAAGGAGAGGGAATGGAGACCCCTTCGCTTCAGCCATAGTGAAAGCAGGTGGCCTAACCACTCAGTTGGATAGCTTTCCCTTCTTGAAAACCAGTCCCAGGCACAGACAGCTACAGATATTTTCTAACCTCACTTGGGGCCTGACTGCCCTGAACCAGGTGCTGGGTTATAAAAACAAATGTTTGCAGGAGTGCTGAGTCCCTGAGGGAGACAAGCCTTCGCCTTCCCCCATTTTAAAGCTGGGAAAACAGGCTGGGAAGGGGCCTCTCACAGTGGCCTTTGACAACTCTTGTCACTCAGCCAGGCCAGCCCTGGCTCCACCTGTGAGCGTGCTGCATATCCGGAGCATGAGGCATGCCCAGGAGACACCCAGGAACCTGGCCCCACTGAGAGTCAGGCTTGGCTGGCTGTGGACTGCCATGGGCAGGGGGACATGGTGTCCTTGGGCCTGGCTGTTTCTCCTGAGAAGGGCGCAGTGTCAGGGAACGCGCTAACCTCTGCAGATGTCCCTGGGCCTGGAGCAAGCACCTCCTTAGCCCTGGTGGGGTGCTCTGAATGGAGAGCCCCAATGCGCAGATGCCCATAGGGCCTGACCTCTCTGTGTGACTTACAGATCCGGAGGGGACCACACAGGTCATGCCTGAGGTCCCAGACACCCCGGACACACAAAGTACCCACTGGGTTCCCACCTGTGCTGGCTCCTTGAGGGATAAAGTCAAATTTGCTTTTGCAAAAATATAAGGGAACTGCAGGGCGCTGCCTCCTTGAGGGGCACCTTGCTGCTGCTGGCTCTCAAAACAGGCCTGGGGTGGCAGCCTCCATCCTCATCATGGGAGATGCAGGAAGGCAGGACCCTGGTCCCCAGTTTTTGCTTCTTGTGCCTACTCCCGAGAAGGGCGCCCCTCACGGAGATGCAGGAGATGCAGCCTCACTGCCGAGGGAGGAACGGCCATTGATGAAACACGAACGAATGCACAGGGCAGCTGCGCGCTTGATGCCGGGATGCTGCCCACAAAGGCGCCTTAGGAAGGAGGAGGGGCCTGCAGTGGGGCCATCCTTGTCTGGGGCTTCCCAAGCTCCCGCTGTGGCCCTCTGCTCAGATGTCTCTACCCTGCGAGATTTCTCAGTTCTCTGTGCCTGATTATGGTTTCCTCCGGGCCTCCTTAGCGTCGCTCCACTTCCTAATTACAGCCTCCTTCCTGGGTCGGCATTTTAAGAAAATTTACCATCTTAATTCTGCTTCCGTGTACAGCTCAGGAGTGTTAAATATTTTCAAATTATTATGCAGCCATTACCACCATCTGCTTCCAGAACTTTTTCACCGTCGCAAAGGGAAACGGCACCCATGAAACAGTCTCCCGTTCCTCGTGTGCCTGCCTGGTGCTACGATTTGTTCTGTCTCTGTGGATTGGACCACTGTAGGGGCCTCAGAGAGGTGGAATCATAGGTGTTCGTCCTGGCTGCTTTCCTGTGGCATCATGTCCTCAAGGTTCATCCCCGTCGTAGCGTGTGTCAAAAATTAATTCCTTTTTTTTTTTTTTTTTTTAAGACAGCTCTTGCTCTGTCACCAAGACTGGAGTGCAGTGGCACAGTCTTGGCTCACTGCAGCCTCTGTCCGTCTCCTGGGTTCAAGCGATTCTCCTGTCTCAGCTTCCTGAGTAGCTGGGACTACAGGAGCCCGCCACCACACCCAGCTAATTTTTTTTTTTTTTTTTTTGGTAGAGACGGGGTTTCATCATGTCAGCCAGGCTGGTCTTGATCTCCTGACCTTGTGTTCCGCCCACCTCAGGCTCCCAAAGTGCTAGGATTACAGGTGTGAGCCACCGTGCCTGGCCAAAAATTTCCTTTCCTTTAAAGGGTAAATAACGTTTCATTTTGCGGATAGACCACATTTTGTTGATTAGATCATCTGTTGGTGGACTTTTGGCTGCTTCCATCCTTTGGCTATTGTGAATATCACTGCCGTGAACTTGGGTTTGCCTCTGTCTTTGAGTCCCTGCTTCTGGTTCTTTTGGGTGTAAACCCAGAAGTGTGTCTGCTGGAGGTCGGCATGTTTTGACAACGCTGTCTGTTGGGTCATAGTCAGCTTTGTAACCCTCAACCGTAGCTCAGCCAGCTGTCTGTTAACTATTGAATGAATAAGGTGAATTCCAGGGTACTCACAGGACAAAATAAGATAATTAAAAGTGCATTGCAGAGTATTTATCAGTAGCAATATCAGTTCAACAGACATGGGCTGTGTATGTAATGAGATGGAGAACATTTCATTTGGAGCATTCTTATAAGGGAGGGAATTATCTTTGCAGGAAACACTTTGATAAATTGCTTGCGGGAAAGTGAGATCCCCAAGGGAGTTTGAGGCAGCAGAAATGATGGCTGAATTCCTGGGGTAAGGAGAGAAGTTTCTGCATCTCCTCTGAGAGGAAGCAAGAACAGGAGAGGGGAGGAGACTGGGGACGAGGCTGATGCCAACAGCAGGCGACGCTGACTTAATGCCAGCCATAGGCCAGGAGTGTGATTCTGTGCACTCCTCATGACGGCCCTGTGAAGTCAGCACTGTTACGTGCTCGTCTTACAGATGAAGAAAGCGAGGCCAGGGACTTTACGTAAATTAACCAAAGCTCATCAGTGGTGGCGCCGGGATTCAAAGTTGGGCTGAGTCTCCAGAACCTGCTTTTTTGGCACCAAGCTCCACACAAAGAAGAGAGAGAGCAGAGCCAGTGAGGGCAGGAGCTGCTGCCTCAGCGCCGGGGCACCTCTGCCGGCCTCAGAGCTTCAGCCACAACTCCCAAGCCCTTAGATTCTCTACTGAGCGGGGACAGGATGAGTGGGACGTTTGGGTTGCTGTGGAATGAAGCAAAACAGCATGGGTGGACTGGAGCCAGGGGCAAGAAGACCCTGAGTAGTGAACCCTGAGAATGTGCAGAAGCCATCAGCAGGCCCCTGGGACTCAGGCGCAGGAAGGTTTGCTGAGTCTCATAGCTACTGAGCTACGCTTCGCTGTGTGGAAGGGCTACAGGCTGTGCTGCTGAATGAGGCATGGCCCCTGCACTCCCACCTGGGACGTTTGCTCATTCAGTGTTCATTTATTCATCAGGTAATACATATTGAGCAACTGCTGTGAACTAAGCACTGTTCTAGGCCCTAAGACCAGGTCTCTGCCTTCATGGAGCTCACAGGCTAGGGCTGAAGCCAAGTAATAGGACGATGACCACATCTGGTGCAGGTTGTCAGGGGATTCATGCATGCTTTCGGGAGGCTTCCTGCAGGAGAAGCAGGGTCAAGTTGAGACATAAAGTCAGGGAAGAGAAGAGGGCAGGGAAAGGCATTTCCAGGGAAAGGCATTTCCAGGGAGAAGGCACAGAGTGTGGGAGAGGAGTCCTGGAATTCAGAGAGAACATGAGGTATTTGGTGAGAATTGAAAAATCCAAAATAGCTAAAATAGGGCTGGGCACGGTGGCTCACACCTGTAATCCCAACACTTTGGGAGGCTGAAATGGGCTGGTCACTTGTCAGGAGTTCAAAACCAGCCTGGCCAACATGGTGAAACCCTGTCGCTACTAAAAACTTACAAAAATTAGCTGGGAATAGTGGCAGAGATGCCTGTAATCCCAGCTACCTGAGAGGCTGAGGTAGGAGAATCACTTGAGCCTGGGAAGCGGAGGTTGCAGTGAGCTGAGATCTTGCCACAGCATTCCAGTCTGGGTGACAGAATGAGACTATGTCTCAAAAAAAAAAATGCTAAAATAGGACACAGGAGTGGGCAGGGGTTCCCAAGCACCAGGCCAGCATGTTGCTGGCCTTAGCCTGTACTCCTGCTGGTGGCTGTGGTGGTGTGGCCGGCTGGCTCTCTTGGGCAGCCCCCTTGTCTGGACAGCCCTATGTGGCTATTCTGTTGGACCACCGATGAGGGGATGTGCCCACTCTGCTCAGCGCCTCTGAGCTCGACTCCCCAATGAGCCAGCAGGAGAGACCCAGGGGCCTCCGTTTCCTCCCGCTCCCGGCTCCGTTCTACCTCCACCTGCGGGGGCTTTGTTCCCACAGGACCATCCCCAGGGTTGGCCAGTGCAATTCTCGGTTTTGTGATGTGAACCTCTCAACTTCAGGGTCAGTGGCCGCCCTTTCTGCACCCTCAGGGCCTCCCACCCGCTGTGTTGTGCGTGGTGTGCTTCAGACTAACTGGATGTGTTTGTTGAATGGAATTAACTTACTAAAGGAAGAAGGAAGGTGGGGTGTTTTCTCTACTTTTGCAATCACTAGAGAATGTCAGAAACTGAAACTTTCGCCTTTTATTTCAACTTAAATATGGTGGCTTTAACTTACGCAGGAAAAGGGAAAGAGGTTTACAGATCTATTTTGAGAATCACATTGGCTGTTTAATACTAGTGCAATGGAGATTTCTGTTTTCTACATTTTTAAACCTAATTTCTTCATCCACTGATACTTGCTGAGCGACTTTATGACTTCCTCGATTATGAACTCGAGTAAGTGAGCCTGTTCTTAATAATATGTGTAATTACATCAAGACGTATAACAGGACCGATGCAAAACCAGCATGAAACTGACGCGTGTCAAGGAACTCATGGGTTGTACTGAACAGTGAACCAGTTTGCATGTTTTATTAAGGAAAAATAACCTTCCATTTCTCTTTATTTCCCCCAGCAAGAATAGTTGTTGGATGAAAATTATCTCAGTGGATTTCCCTTTCTTACATAACAGTAGTTTAATTTACCAGATTTGAGGGATCGGAAGAGAAGTGCCTGCTGTTTTATATGCCCCGATGTCCACGTACCCAGGGCGATGTCATAGTGGTTGGTTAGACAACCCCTTCAGAAGAGGGGAGCCATCTGCTGTAGGAGGTTTCCCATCTGATGGTCTCTGTATAGAGATTTCTAGATGTTCTCCTATATCTGGGATCAGCAGGATCTGTGTTTTCCTTGACCAAGGCTCACCCCTCCCTGAAGCGCAGCGGCGAGGCCAGTGTGGAAGGACTCCTGAACCAACTCGTCCTGGAGCACCTGCAGCTGGCACCTCTGCAGTGGGGTAAGTACCTGCCAGCCGCCCATTGATTCTGGGTGGATGTGCTCCTTTTCTCCAAATGCACAAGCAAGATTTTGTGGGTTGTGTGTCTGGGCACCCCAGATGGTGGCGGGTGCTGCAGGTCGTCACGGGAAACCTTGAGGGAAAAGACAGGCCCATCATGCTACATTGGCGCCTCTGCCTGAGGGCATCTGTGTTCACCTAGGCGGCAGCTCAGCACTCAGGCGACAGTGCAGACGTGAGAAGGGCGCAGTGCCCATCAAAACAGGTGCAGCGGGTGGATCGCAGCCTACGCCTTGACTTGCATTTGCTGTAGAGCGGGTCGTCTTCTGAAATGGCAATTAGCTGTGTCTGGCTGGCCTGTGCTTTGCAACTGTTTCCAGAACTGAGAGAGGCCTGGGATGCCAGAAGAGAACAGGATGTGGTTCACCCTTGCTTTCACCCCTCTCTCCGCGCCTGCGTTGACAGCTTTTCATGCTGTCTGTGTGGAAAAACGTTTGTTTAGTAAATGCCTCAACTCAGTGTTCTGTTCCGCCCGAAGGAGAACACCATTACTGAGCACTTAGCACAGTTTATTTGAAGGCGGCTTCTTGCACCTGGGAACTTGCACCCTACACTGTGCCTTTCTAAATTGAACTCAGAAATATTTTGCTGAGAAATGAGCTTAGTATTTCTATTGAAGTGAGAGTCTTTATTCTCTGGAAATTATTTCATCAGCTCCTCTATTTTGGATCACATGCAAACCATCAGTTGCAAGCATGTATATCCCCTTTCTTCCTTTTCTTTAGACAACAGGTCATTGTGAATAAGTAGCTCCTCTGTGATCCAGGGTCCAGTTCATGAATAAGCTTGTTATGCCCCTTTCATGGGCTGGAGACACATGGAAATGACTCCAGTGACGTGAGGAGAAAGTAAGTATTTCTCCTTGCACTCCAGCAGCCCGCTTCAGCCTGGAGACCCCTTGTCCCGCAGAGGCTGGCCCCTGGCTCCTAACAGATGAAAGCTGTTGGGACCAGGTAGGCATCGTCATGGCAGCTGTAAAGTGGGTTTGCATTTTATACTCAGGCTCCTTCTGTGGACTGTCCTCCTCTCTGACCCAGCCTGAGTGGTAGGAAGGAAAGGCTTGGTGTTTCTGCAGCGGGTTTCACAGTTTGGTTCTCTGGAGGCTTCCCAGTAGCCCAGCCACTTTTCTAGGTGGAAATGTCCTATCTGTCTCCTGATTACCTGGGCACAGTCAGCTATGGCCCTAGGCTCAAACAACTGAGCTGGGGCAGACACCTGGGCCGCCCCGCCGTGGGGTGGGGTCAGGCCCCGGGGGAACTAGCTGTATTTTATTTGTTACCAGAGGAGATTCCTCCAGGCAGCTATGCAAGACTTTCACGGGGTAGGTGAACCAAGGGTGGGCCACAGGCAGAACAGGGGCCCAAGAGCAAAGAGCAGAGTGACTTGGGGGTGGGGAGGTGGGCAGCAGATGGGCTCCTCTTTTCTCTCTCAGGGTTGGCAGCCCTAGCTCCAGGCAAGGGTTTTTGAGATGGCTTGAGGGCCTTTGGTGGGGTGGGTGACCGACAGGGCACCCAGGAGCAGAGCCCTGGGGGAGAAGTTCTGGCAGGACAAGGCTGAGTGGGGAGAAGTCCCTCCGCCTTCCAGTGCTCTGTGAACTGACTGTGCAGTCTGGAGACGATGCCCTTCCCATGGCGTGGACTGCCCTTGGCACTGTTCCAGGTAGGCCCTAAGGGTGAGGAGGGCTCTGGAATTGGAGAGGCACAGGACAGAGAAGAGGCAAGGACCTTGGATTGTTGAGCATCTCTTGTCCCAGACATTTTACATAAGAGCTGCCATGCACTCCTCACCACAGTCCCATGAGTGAGGTTTCCTCCATCATTTACAAACAGGGCGACTGAGCCTCAGAGCTTGGCCCTTGCCCCAGGGGCTCCAGGGTGAACGGAGCTGGGAGCACTGAGTTACAGGCCACTATACCTCCACCAGCCAAGGACAAACCTCAGCCCAGCCCTGCCTGAAAGTTGTTGGGGCTGGAAGAAACCTGGACAATTTGGGAATTTCAGATGAAGAAAAGCTTTAGTCCTTAATGATCACAAAGGTCCTTTCTGCTCTTTTTGCCTTCTCCCCTGGGTGTGCTAAAAACACCCTTTAAAAATTTACAGTAGTGGGGAAATTAGAGAGAAGAGTGGACAATTAGAGCCAGGACTGGGAAGTTGGTTTGGCCCTGGGGTGCCTCTCAGTGCAGAACAGCCTGGAAGCTGCACACGCCCTCATGGGCAGAGGCACCTGCTGGGAAGCGTGAAGGCTCTGGGCTGGGCTCAGACCCGTTCTGCGTTACACTGCTGTTTCCATTTCTTGCCCTAATTTTTTTCCGCTTTATACTGGTTTATTTTCTGTTGCTTATAACAGAATACCTGAAACTGGGCAATTTATAAAGAAATGTATTTCTTACAGTTACAGAGGCTGCAATGTCTCAGGTCAAGGAGCTGCATCTGGTGAGGGCCTTCTTGCTGCTAGGGACACTGCAGAGTGCCAAGGTGGTGCAGGGCATGACATGGCGAGGGGGCTGAGTGTGCTCATCTGCTAGCTCCGATCTCGCTTCCTCTTCTTAGAAAGCCACCATTTTCCCAACCATGAGAACCCATTAATCCACCAACCCATTAATCCTTGAATGGGTTAATCCATTCATGAGGGCAGAGCCCTTGTGACCCAATCACCAATTAAAGACTCCAGCTCCCAGCACTGCCACATTGGGGATTAAGTTTCAACATGAGTTTTGGAGGAGACATTCAGTCCGTAGCACCTTTTTTTTCATACGGAGGCTCAGGGAGTTCTTTTGGAAATGTAGTTCTGTTCCATGACCTCTCAGGATCAGGCAGTCCTGGGCTCAGATCCTAGCTCTGTCACGTGTTAGCTGTGACCTTCGGCATACCACTTCACCTCTTTGAGCCTGAGTTTCTTCCTTCATGGAGTGGGATGATGCCAGCTGTGTAAGTTACTCCAGGAATTGCCTGAGATGATGTCTGTTACGTGCTCAGCACAGCCCCTGCCTCCCTGCACCATTGTTTCCTCTGAAACCCACACCCGTCTCCTCGTCACCCTCCTACCCCCTGTGCTGGCTCCCTTTCCCCATAGGAAACGTGGGCCAGCAGTGAGACCAGCCCCGTGCAGATGCGTACTGGGCCCCCGCAGTTGGGCTCCGTGCAGGGTGAGAGGTGACACTTCATTGACATTGTTGACCTTGCTTCACTGCAGCCTCTGGGGGAACAGGTAGGGGCGCAGGGTGACAGAAAAGACCTGTGGTTTTCACTGCACTCTTGTCTGAAAGCAAAGGCCTTCTTCATGGTGCTTCAGTCCCCTCTGTGGTGTAGTAGAGGCTGTTGGTGGAGCCAAGGGACCTGGTTTACGTTTCGGTCCTGCCACGTGCTGCGTCATGGAGGCACCCTGAGACTCCATTTCACCATCACAGGGCAGCATGGACCTCTCCCATGGCAACCTCATGTGTTGCTCTGAGGCCCAGAATCAAAGTGAAATGATATTTGTAAATGTGTCTGGAACACCATAAATTCCCACTGCCTGCAAAGCAAAGATTTATTATAATCACTTATGTTTTAAAAGCTACAGAGTCTTTCGTACAAATATTTCTGTAATTCCTGGATGATCAGCCCAGTTCTAGGAGTCATATACCCAAGCCCTGCTGTGGAACTCACAAGGGGTTCTCCGTGAATCTGTGCTGTTCATCTCTGCCACCCCGTTGCTCACCTCAGGGACTGGGCAGTGCGTGGACCTCCTTCCTGGCATCTGTGCATGGTGGGGCCGCCTTCAGAGGGAGGCCCAGGCAGGTGCTCTTCAGTCTGGGGTACAACAAGAAGGAGGGGTGAGGCCCTGCGGTATGGAATCTGGCCCACGGCGTATTAAGAGGTGCTTACATATTTCCTGCTTTCAGTGAATCCACATTGGCCCAAGAGCTGCCATCCTTTACTGTCTCTGTTCTTGGAGAATTTGAGAAGGTGGTTTTGAGGTCCTGTTTGCATGGCATAGAAAGATGGTTAGCAGTAGGAGGCCAACTCTTTTCTTTCATGACTAAAGAAAGGTCGCCTTGCCTTTGTTGGGGTGGTGGTTTGAGACGCAACACTTTGACATCTGAGGACAGTTGCGAGATGTGGCTTAATGACTTCATCATGAGACCAGAGCAGATCTATTTGCTAGTTTGGAGGACACGGTAATTCCCACTTCACCAGGTTGTTAGGCAGCTCAGGTGGCATGAAGGGTGGATGGGAGATGGGGGCGCTCGCCACATGCGATGCTTTGTGAGTGAGTGTAGAGCGAACCAATTGGCAGTCAGATCTATTTTTGTTAAATTACTAAGGTTTGAACAGAAAACACATCTGCATCTACAGGAACTTGGGTTCCCTAAAAAGACTAATAAAAACGAAGTTCAACTTGTCTTGATACATTGGGTCAGTCAAAAGAAACAGATTCCCCAGGGGAGGGGTCATCCAGCTGCTGCCACACCTGGAGTGAGCCTGTGGACCGTCTCTCCTGGCTGAGGCCACTGGGAGGAACCTGAGGGTGGGGGTCTCCTTCTCCAGCACCGGGTCGGTTTCTTCCCCAGGCCTTTTCTGTTTGGTAATGGATAGTGTTTGGGTCACCTCTAGCAGGCACAGAGGCACGTTGGCAAATAATGCAAATATTAATCCCTTTATGCTGGAGGAAATCCATGGCTTTTTAAAAGCAGTGCTAAGATCTGAAAGGCATTTCTGCCTTCAGGACGTGAGCTGGTCCCCGTGGGAGCGCCAGCAGTGAGCGGCTCATTTCAGTTCCAGTGGCACCTGCCAGGGTGGGGGCCTCACGCTACGGTGTGGGGCATTCCGAGAAGTGGGGCATGATATTTTCCTGTTTGCAGTGGCACAGTTCATCTCACTATTACCATATTGGCTGTTTCCAGTAAACATGTTAATATACAGATTTCAATTCGATTTTCTGACTAGATGAGTTTTCTA